TATCAGCTTTAATATCTCAACTCTTTACCCAGATGGCTTCAGACAAAGTCCACTAAATATTGTAACTGTCCATAGCGTTCTATGGTAAATCAAAGCACAGGGCAGAATAGGTGGCAGGGTAAAAATTATAAACTGAGGAAATTACAGGATACATAGGAAACAGGATGAGAGCAATAAATGAGTAAAAGAATCCGGGGTTCCCTCCCCACATAAATGGCAGTATCACGATAGGGATCTGACACAGAGGGCGAGCAGGCAGCATGCAGACGGAGGCCCCACAGAAGGCGAGAGGCAGAAAGTGATATATTCCCCCAACCCAAGACAGAGGGCAAGTGGGTGGCATGTGAGCAGAAGGATGGTGAGAGCCAGGCCCAAAAGGTGGCCGAGCCTTGCAATGTCCACTCCAAGGCAGCCCTTCAGTTGAGCGCCTTACCTTCATGGGCAGTCATGGTGAGCAGAGCAGATGAGGCAAGGAAATCAGCTGGGCCACAAGGGCCGTGTGATCTGAGTGAGTGAAGGAGCAGAAAGCAGCTGGGCCACAGCTGCGACTCTTGGCACCGGCCAATGTGGGTGAAGTGAGATAAGGAGTGGCTGGGCTGGGCAGGTGCAAACAGGCTGAATCCCACCTCTGGTCCTGTGGCAACTTGGTGGTGGTGAGTTGGCAGAGGTGAGTTGGTGGTGGCAAGTGGCCGTGTCGAGCCAGTCAGTCCTAGACCCTGTTTAGAAAACTAGTAAGTTGCTGGTAAATTGGACTCCTTCAGAGGAAAGAAAGTAGAGGAATCTTGTGGTGTGTGTGTGTGTGTGTGTGTGTGTTTTAGATTGTAAATTAAACAGATCTTTATTTTGAAATCACAATCACTGATCACTGTAACCCAAGTGTTAAATGTATTTTAAATTTAATATATGAAATATATTAACCTTAGTATTAGCATTTTGCTGGCACTGCTGCAGCTGCTCCTATTTTTTTTTAAAGAATTTTTATTTTTTAAACAAACATACACAAACAAAACATAAAACACAAATCCATCTTCCAGTTACATACAGTGTGTCAGTTGGTTACAAGTCTTTTGTGCTTTTGTGCTTCATCTCGATAGTCCTCCCTTACGGTTTATATAAATTCTCAAAATATCCAGCTCGTGTGTGTGTATAAAATTATTTATCATTGTTAATCATTATTTTTGACTATAACTATTATTCTTTCATTTTATGTGAGAAATACGACATTTTAACTTTATACGTATTCATTACATCTTCATAAAACAGCCTAATAGTAATATGTCCTTGTGCTACATTCACTATAGTTCTATTACCCTTATATTTTTAAAAGTTTTTTAAAAGTATTTCATTTCCTTTTTTTGTTTAAGCATTGATAAAATAAATCCCATATCTTATAATATTGTTTGTCTTCTTGTTCTCTAATTTCAAATGTCAATTTACTCATCTCAGCCAACTCCATTATTTTCTTAATGACTTTCTCCTGCATTGGTGTTTTTTCATTTTTCCAGTTTTTAACAAATACAATTCTAGCCACTATTAATACATTTACAATCAAATATTTCAATTCCCTACTATATATTTCCTACTATATAAGTATCTCTAATTTAAAATCAATATGTCTTTTTGTCATTTTTTCCAAACACATGTGGATTTTAGTCCAATATCTTTTTGCCTCTACACATGTCCACCACATATGGTAAAATGAGCCTGGTATCTGATGACATTTCCAACGGTTTTCAGATTTATTCTTGCTATTCTCGTCGGGGATAAGTGCCACCTGTAAAACATCTTATAAAAATTTTCTTTATACGCTGTTGACATTGTCATTTTATAGTTTTGAGACCACAATTTTTGCTATTTCTCTACATCAGTCCCATATCCAAAAATTTTCCCTCAACAATCATTGTTTCTTTAACTTGCTCTTCTTCTAGCTTAACCTCTAGTACCCATATAATTTTTTTAATCACCTTTTCATCAGTACCTGCCAAAATGTTATCTAAATCAGTCAATTTATCATAAAAACCTTCTGTTTTGAGATCTTTATCATATCTAGAATGTATTTGCACATATGAAAACCAATGCATCCTTATATCTTGTTATTCTAATTCTTGCATAGATTTAAGTTCATCCTTTTCATTCAATATTTTGCCATATCTAACTGTTCCATTTTATATATTACTGGATATGAAAATGCTTCTACAGTTGATAGCCAGACTGGAATTTTTAAATAATGTTGCCTTTTAATCTTCTCCCAATTTAATAACAAAGCCTCTCGTATGTAATGTCTTCTGAAATAACCATGTGTTTTAGATCCCTTGTACCATAAGAAGGCATGCCATCCCAACAACAAATCATGTCCTTCTAGTGTCAATAATCTAGTATTTCTTAGTGTTATCCATTCCTAGACCCACATCAAAGTTGTCGCTTGATAATATAACTCCCAATTTGGCAGGCCAAATCCTCCTCTTGTTCTAATATCTTGCAATAATTTTAATTTTATTCTCATTTTATTCCCCTGCCAAATATCTTATTCAAATCTTCAAAATGTTATTTCCCTAATCTAATTGGAATTGTCTGGAACAGATATAAGATTCTAGGTAATATGTTCATCTTAATTGTTGCTATTGTCCCTATTAATGATAGTTGTAAATTTTCCAATTTTGCCAAATCTATCACAATCTGTTGTTTGAGTTTATAATAATTATTCTCTTTAAGCATACCACATCTTGCTGTCAAATGTATTCCCAAATAACCTTATTTGTGACCTGGATCTTTAAAACTTCCACCACTACTTCTGTTTTGTTAGTATATTCTTTGTCAAAATCTTCATTTTATCTTTATTTATCTTTAAACCTGCTACCATTCCATATTCCTCTATCTTTTCTATCAATTTAGATGCTGTTTCTAATGGATCTTCTAAAATAAAAACCAGGTCATCTGCAAATGCTTGTAGTTTATATTCTTCCTTTTTAATTTTCATTCCTTTTATTTCTTTCTCTTCTCTAATATCTCTATTTAATATCTAATATCTCTATTTTCTGATGTTAACACAAACAATAGAGGTGACAGCAGGCAACCTTGTCTTGTACCTTTCTTTACATCAATGCAATCTGTCAGTTCCCCATTTATCATTACCTTTGCTGTTCGTTTATAGCTTCTATGGCTTGGGTAAACTTCTTACCAAAGCCCATCTTTTCTAATTGTAGTAACATAAATTGCCAATTCACATTATCAAAGGCTTTCTGTGCATCTAGAAATATCAAAGCCTTTTGTTTTTCAGGGTGTGTCTCGTAATATTCCAATGTGTCCAGAATACTCATATTATCTTTAATTTGTCTCTTTGGCAAAAACCCATTTTGATCAGGATGAATAAATTTGTTCAAATATCTTTTGAGTCTTTCTGCCATTATTGAAGTGAAGATTTTATATGCTGAGTTCAGTAGGGAAATAGGTCTATAATTCTTGATTTGTTGCGGGCTTCCTCCTTTGGCACAAGTGTAATATATGCTTCTGATCACGGTTTAGTTATCCTCATCTTTAGCTTCATTTATAACTTCTAACAACAGAACTTCATTTATAACTTCATTTATAACTTCTAACAACAGAAGGTTTAATGATTCCTGAAATGTCTTATAAAATTCCACTGGCAATCTGTCTGGACCAGGTGCTTTTCCATTATTTTGTTTTTTTAATGCTTCAGTTAACTCCATCATCATTATATTCCCTTCTAACATCATTTCAATGTAAAGAAGGTATCTGAGGTAAATTCACTTTCTGCAGATATTGTTTGATTCTTTCCTCCTCTATGTTCTGCTTGCTTGTGGTGCAGCAGGAGGCCACGCAGTGTACCAGTGCCACCACTGCTGTGAGGCAGTGGAGCTGCACCCCACACCCTGCACCATCTCGCCTGATGGCCTCTCCAGCCAGGCCACCCATGCCCTGATGCTTGCCTCACAGTGGTGGCTCCAACAGCCCCATCCTGCAGAACCCTGCATGGTTGCCATTCCACTTTTGCTTGCTCACAACCAGAACAGAGCAGGAGAACGAATGACGCACTGGTCCTATGGCCACAAGGTGAGATGAGGAGATGAAGGCCCCCATTGCCAGGCCGTGCCTCATGGCCCTGGCACCAGCACACCACTCAGCCTCCTGTAGTCGCAAGCAAGCAGAAGTGGGCTGGAGGTCACGTGGGTTTATGCTGCATGTGGTTGCTGATGCTGCCATGAGGCAGGTATTGAAATATTGATGGCCTGGCTGTGGGGGCCCAGAGGTAAGCCAGTGCAGGGCATGTGGGACAGCTCCACCTCCCCACCTTGCCCCATGGTAGTGACAACTGTGAGCAACCAGATAGAATAGGAGGGTGGCCAACTATGCAGGGTCTTAAGTAGGACTTATTTTGGAGGTAGGGCTTATATTATGTGCACTAGTAAAAATCATTATTTTTGGGATAGGTCTAATTTTCAGGGAAACAGGGTACTCACAGTTAGCTTTTCTATGCCATTGTCATGGTTCTGACAGATGCCCCAATTAAATCAAGAGCCTCAAGCCAAGCTTCCAAAGACATCCAGTTATTTATTAAAAGCTTCATGCCGGCATGGACCAGGTGGAGCCAGCTCTGACCTCATTAACTCATTAACCCAAAAAGTTTATGCTATTGTGCTTACCCTCAATAGTCACTGGGATACAAATAAAGTTATCACCTTATTTGTTAGTTTTCTGTACTTCCTACTGTGCAATAATCTCCTTGAAACAGAATTGCAAACTGTGGCACATTAACAAGTGCATAGATTGTCTAGGGTGCTGGGCAGTGTGCATGAACATACTGTACCTAAAATGAAATGTCATTTCTGTGTGGTAATGATTTATTTCCACTATGGTGACCTTCCAATCCCCACATGGAAAACAATGAAAGATATAATTGCAGGCATTGTGCCAGATAACACAATGTGTGTTCCCCAGTAAAAAATGATAAACTTTTATTGAAACTTTTCTTCTGTTTTCAGACTGCAGCAATCGAATGGATGTATGAAATTAATGGTCTACTCCCAAAGACTATCCCACCCAGTTCTTTAGCAAAAGTAATTTGCAGAAATATGTACATCAGATCAGCAACAGTGCGACAGCGCAACTTTGTACGGGAAAATATGAAAGTCTTATCCACCAGCATGTCCCCACCAATTAAAGGGGCACCTCTCATTTTAAAAACAAAATAAACTTTTGATGTCTATAATTAGCCTTTTTTTGTATTTTTACATTTGGAGCTGCAGCTATAATGAATGTCTTACAGCTTTTATGAAAAAGTCAGCCCTTCAAGGTCATCCAGACAATAAGAACCCGTCACAAATTCTAACACTACCTTTACTGTAAGGTTAGATTAACTGAATCTTGCAAGTCTGAAAGCATTATCTTCTTCCTTTACTTTTACTTTCCAGAAAACTAGGAGGGGTCAATCAGAGACCACTACCCATGCCCCTTCTGCTTCTGTAGACCGACAGACCTTTTATATGATAGATTTCTAGGCTGTGACTCCTAAGGCACTCAG